GATGCGCACACGCACCCAACGGAGCATGCGCATTTGTCATGTACACACAAAAAAAAATCAGTTTGCCGCGGCGCGCGCTTCTTCGTTGCGCGCCGGCTTGTCCTGTGATCAGCACCTCTCCCTTGCCATGGAACCTCCACGGTACCTCCACAGGACCTCCACGGGAGGTCTGATCGCCTAACCGCGCAGTAGTTTGCCCCAGGGCAAACAGCCATGCTTCTCCCCCGCAGTTTCCTGCCCTTGTGACCGGGGCCTAAAATAATCAATGGCCCCAGCCAGACTTGCCAGAAAAAGCAGAGGCGAAGCGCGGCTATTTGCGCCATCGCATTCTGATGCGCTATTATGCGATCAGACGTGACGGCGGCTTCGACGGGGGAGGAAGCCGTGTGCCGGCGCGATCACACCGGGAGGCTTCCATAGGCGGCCCGTGGCAAAGCGTTTCATAGTACATGTGGTATGCTAGGTTTTTACTGTGCGGCTTCGGCGGCTTGCCACAGGTTCGCCACAGGAGTGCTACGCCTCCCAGATGTTCCCGTGTGATCGTGCCCAGATACTCCATGGGACTCCTGTGCCTTCAGCGGGGCAAATGCTCCGTGTGACCGGGGCCTATATAGAACTAATCACAAGATGGTATCAAATCTCCTTCATGGGGTTCCTTAGTGTTATTACTATGAGAAATCCACTAAGCCAACAGAAAAGTCTTTTACCATCACCCTTTGAAAACTAGAGCTTTAGTCTGAGAATATGTACCTAAACAGGTTTCCAACTTTCCATTAATTTTAAATGACTCATCATTTGTCGTAGTGGAGTTACTATTTTATTTACTGAAAGTGCACTTCCTGGTGTTTCCATAACTTGTATATAAAACAAAACACTATATTCAACAGATTTATTTTCTGCAAATGTTCACACAATGTGCTTGTAAAAATTGTTCAGAATCAGACCAATATAATTTCTACCACTGTTATTTCCTCTCAGGACTTGGGAAGCTGGTGAGTTGTTCCTTATCATAGCATCATGTACAGACCTGAAAAACCAGGCAGTCTACTAAATGTGGTTAGCTCTGCAAAAGCTATGAACTGTAACACTACATAGCAGAGGCCAAAGGTTGACACTTTGAAAGCAGTAGCTATTTAGGCACTCTGGAATAAAAGTGCTCAGTTTAATTAAATCATTGCAGCAGCTCAATGTGACCAATTCAGAACCACTGATGTTGTGCCAAATTTGCCAAAGAAATTAATACTGGTAGATGAGCAGAGCTACTGCCAACACAGCCTTAATTAATGCAGTTTTGCGTAATTCTACTCACCCTAAGTGAATAATTCTTGACAGAGCTGTAAAATATTAGCTTTATTAGCACCATTCCCTAATGCAAAGCATCATGGACAAGGCTGAGATATATGAAAATTAATTATGTTTGCATCACCCTCCATCAAGAATCTCTGTTTACTGCATTTTTTTTTTATCCTACCCTTTCTCCAAGAAGTTCAGGGCAGGATACATGGCTCTTCCCTCCTCCATTTTATCCTCAGAACAATTATGTGAAGGCAGACAGGCTGAGAGACAGAAAATTGGCTCAGCTTCCCACAACCAGTTTTATGGTCAGTATGGATTTGAATCTGGGTCTCTCTCGGCCTAGCCCAGAATTGACTCTCAATAATTGGCTCGATATCCAGTACTGAAAATATCTCTGGTTAATTTAGCACACATGGACTGTGCTGCTTTGACACCAGCCAGCAATCCTATGTGTGATCTGTAACAAATGTCAACAAATTTAAAGTGCTATCATAAGCATTGTTGTACCCTTCTAAATCCAATGAAATCAATGGGCTTAGAAGGCTGTAACTGTAACTGTGACAGCAGCCATGAAATTAAAAGATGCCTGCTTCTTGGGAGGAAAGCGATGGCGAACCTAAACAGCATGATAAAAAGTAGAGACATCACCCTGCCAACAAAAGTCCGCATGGTCAAAGCAATGGTATTCCCAGTAGTCATGTATGGCTGCGAGAGTTGGACTATAAGGAAGGCCGAGCGCCGAAGAATAGATTCTTTTGAACTATGGTGCTGGAGAAGACTCTTGAGAGTCCCTTGGACTGCAAGAAGGTCAAATCAGTCAATCCTAAAAGAAATCAACCCTGACTGTTCCCTGGAAGGCCAGATAATGAAACTGGAGCTCAAATACTTTGGCCACCAAATGAGAAGGGAGCACTCACTGGAGAAGACCCTGATGCTGGGAAAGATTGAAAGTCAAAGAAGACGGGGACGGCAAAGGATGAGATGGTTAGACAGTGTCATAGATGCAATGAACATGAAATTGAGCACACTTCAGAGGACGGCAGAAGACCGGAGGGCCTGGCGTGATCTTGTCCATGGGGTCACGAAGAGTCAGACTCGACTATGCGACTGAACAACAAAAAACTGTGCTCAGGATGGGACTATAAGTAGTAATCAAGCATTTTCCATTTTTAGTCAGTTTTCCCAGTTATAATAGAAACATGCATTCAGAATCCTGTTTAGTGCAATCCTTCCTCACTTGAAAACTCAATTTATCACCACCAGAGAACTGTGAATGACACTCATTCACAAATCAGGATATTCTGGTGCCTGAGTCATTAAGATTAAAACAGGGACATTTCATGATCATAAGACATGAAGTGACAATCTGAATGCACTTTTTCTTTTACCTTTTAATCTTTCAGCCTTCATGTCTTAAGATCATACCTTTGATTTTCTCTCCTAAAGTTAATATTTTAAAATTTCAAATAAACATTGTCTGAAAACCCAGAAAATATCAGTAAATATCACAGGGATTTCTCCTTGTGTTGTATAGCAAACCAAAGAGTATAGATTAACTTATAAAGTGTTACTTATAGGGTTGGGGAATGGAAGATCCTGTGTTAGGACAGAGAGTAGGAATCAATTATCTCTGGATCCCTTCCAATCCTGCAATTTAAAGCTCATGAAAAAATCTTGCAATTTAAAGGACCATTACACCACTGGTTCAGACCAGGGTTAGACAACAAATGGACCACAGGTTCCACGAGGCCTCCATGACCTATCCCCATGACAATGCACCTCCACACCAGTAGACCTGTATGAAAGAGATGGAGGGAATTCACATGGGAGGAGGCTGGCTCTTTGGAGGCAGCTCACAAGCCACAGGTTGCTAACTTCTTCCCTAAACACAAACGAACACACCAAGTTTTCAGCTAATCACACCATTCACAGAAATGCCACATTTACTTGTTAAGAGCTGCTTTGTGTTTCTAAAGATTCTAAAAATATACTAGTAAAGGTTTTAAGAGGCATAAACAAAGCATAGCAGTTCAACAGCAAAACAGAGCATGTGGGGGAGGGAATTACTGCAACAGCAAAATAATAATTTTTCAGATCAAAAAAGCAAGTGAGCATGAATTTAAGTATTCAAAAAAGTGGCAGATTGAACAATCTAAGCCTGCTTTGTAACACAGTAACAAGTAGACTGGCCACAACACTTTACAATAACTATGTGAGTGAACAGTGTTATGAGGGAGACTCAGAGATGCTGCAGTTCTAATAAAAATGCAGTCGGTATACAGATCACATGTGTCAAATGAGATGCCTTCAAGTCCTGTTTGAACATGCCCCCAAATCCATCCCATGACAATGAAAGGGGAAAGGGATCCAAATTTTGGGGGCCTTTTCATTAAGCAGGGAGGATTCTGCAGTCTGTATTGAATTTAGACAGTTTATAGATCAGATTTTCTACTTTGTAAATCCCCATGAAATCACGTGAGGAATCCCCAACTAGAGTTCAAAATCTTCTCTACCATAGCAAAGCATGGAGATGAACAAAAGCAGATTTCTCACCCTGCAAAAATTCCCTCCGCCTCTAAAACACCAGGCATAATGGGCAGAATGTTTTTTTTGGGGGGGGGGGACTGGACTAGAATTCTCACATGCCAGGGACTGATACAACTTACTGAGGGGGGGGGAGTATGTGGAGTCAACAAAAGAAAACTCCCAGGCCCCAGTTGAGTAGATGTTGTAAAGCAAGTCCCACAACCTGGCCAGGGACTAGCCCCTTTGTTTTGGAAACAGGGGTTGGGAAGCAAGCCAGGGTTGGAAAACGCCATGGGTCTCTAAGACGATGGGGGGGGGAGGGTTTGAACATTTGTCATAAATGTAGCAGCCATAGTCTCATCTATGCATCTACCGCAAATTGTTTGGTCCCCTGGAACGCTCAGTCCCCAGGCACGGTGTAAAACTTAACAGCCTGCTCCTGAGAATATTTACACAGAAGGATCTCCACGGATGTTCAAAGGGATTTATTCCTAAAGTGCCATCCTGTGCACACTTCCTAGTGCCGCTGAAGACGGTGAGGGCTTACTTCCGAGTAAGGCGTGCTGCCCAGCTCCGAAATCCCATTGTGCTGTGCTCTGCAACACAGAATCCGCGGAGGGGGACGGGAAGAGGCTGTCTATACGGTCGTTTGGTCAATCCTCACCTCCCCCTAAAAAGCCAGGTATATTCTCCTCTAGGTATTCAGACCTTGGGGGGGGGGCGCTGTCTGCCCTATCTTTGAGCCAGGCAAATGAGCGGCCGTCGTGCCAAATACAGGTGGCTGTTCTCCCCCCCCCCCCCCCCCCCCCCCCCCCCCCCCCCCCCCCCCCCCCCCCCCCCCACACACACACACCATGAAAAGCACCAAGGCGGGCAAAAGGTAGAGAAAGGAGGATTCTGTTGCTAAGCGGGGCACAACCCTCCCCCCAATATAGGAGGAGCGAGGGGGGGGACGGAGCCCCCTTTGTGCCAGACGGACTCGACTCTGCGGCGGGCGAGGGAGGGGAGCGGGGCACGGCTCGGGATCGGGGCAGGCGCCCTCCATTCTTCCCTCCTTCCATGAGGCACAAACCCCGAGCGGAAGGGGGGTGGGTGGGAAGAGAGCCGCCTTCTGCAGGCCAGGCTGCGGCGCGGCGGTGCCGGGCTCTGCCCCCTTTCGGCTGCTCTCGCTGGCTCACCTCCTCGATGGCGGCCACGGTGTTCCGGCACTGCGCCAGCCGGGTGGTGAAGTTGGAGGCGGTGGGCGACTTGTAATCCTCATTGGTCTCGGACACGAATTCCGACACGGAGATCTGGTCCGGCATGGCGGGGAGGGAGGGGGGGGGGGGCGGGTGGAAAGGAAGGCTTGGGAAGCGGGAGGCGAAGGCGAAGAAGGGGGAAGCCCTTCCCCGCCTCACATCGCTCGGCAACCCGCGGCCGCTGCAGCGCTCTCCCCTGGCGACCAAGCAAGCGGCGGGGGGCGGGCGGGGGAGAAGCGACGAGCAGGCAGATGCCCCGATTTTGTGGGGCGGGAAGCCAGGAGAGCCCCAGACGCGCCACCCTCCCCTCGCCTGCACGCGGAGGACAGACCAGAAGGCACACTCCTCCCACTCTCGGTAACGCACGGAGGGAGTCCGAGCACGCCCAGTCGAGCGCTAAAGGAGGCCGAGGAGCCAGACTCACCTCCCCGAACACAGCCGCGCTCTCACCTCTCCGGGCTCTCTGCAGCAAGAAGGAGATACAATTAAAGTCGGTTTCTGCCTCGGCTTCCTCCAGTCAGAGCTCACTTCATCAGATGCAGTGGGCATCTGAGACACATGTCCTGCATCTGATCTTCAGATTCTGAAGCGAGCACCGACTCTTGAAAAGCTGATGCTGAAATGAATTTCCTGAGATGTCACTGGACTTCTGTTTAATTTTTGCCGTAAAAGGCCAACATGGCTGCCTCTCTGGAATTATCCTTAAGAGGGAGAGAAAGACACACAAGCACTCAGAGTTCATGCACAGGAGAGGGGAAGATCCACACTAGTCCTCCTTAATATTTGGAGACAGCCTTGCAAATCTCTTCGCTGGGGGCTTGCTTCACACAACTATTTTTACATAAAAATCATCCTGTCTGGCTCACACATACACGGGGTTTCATTACAGCTGATTACTGTACACTTGTAGTTGTTTCATGATGATGGCAACATCCAGTGATGGCTTGTAGGTGTGAATAGGGTGCTGTCACTGGCATAACTTTGGTATCAGGTGGAGCACAATGTTTTCCAGTGGAGTCTGTGCACAAATTCAACTATGAGGAACCAAGTGGAAAGGAATCAAATGATATATGTGCATGTTGTGAAGCAAACCTAGAAACATGTGAAGGGGTGAACAGACTCCATTGAAAAGCAGTGTTTGCAATGGGGGCGATGCCACAATTATACCTGTGAACGTCCATTCATACCTGCAACTCCCTACTTTGTGTTGAGAACCAGTTGTATGAGAAGCCCTTCCATTCACACAGAAACAGATTGGCAGAAAAACCCTCAGAGGTTGGGAGCTAGATGACAAAACCCCTGCTTGTTTACTCATGCTGGCAAACATATTTGCTAGTGCATCACTTTGGAGTGTCAGTTCAAAGATTCTTGTCCTAAGAAGGTACAAAGTCTATGGGAAAGGGAGTTCCCATGAGGCATTTCTGCAGACGTAAGGAAGGAATCAGTGAAGGTGGTCTTTCCTTGTTAGTACCCAGGTCCATTGTTAGATGGTGAGTGTACAGAAGGCCCATTCACGTATTCCCAAAGCTGCTTTCCCATGATACAGTCTCACACTGCTGTAGTGTGTGTGTGACTGATCTTATTTAGAAGGTACAAATTCTCATCAGGCTAAAAGCAAGAGTGGCAACTTAAGAACATAAGGGAAGCCAATGTTGGATCAGGCCAATGGCCCATCCAGTCCAACACTCTGTGTCACACAGTGGCCAGAAACACCAGGTGCCATCAGGAGGTCCATCAGTGGGGCCAGGACACTAGAAGCCCTCCCTTTGTTGCCCCCCCCAGCACCCAGAATACAATGCATCACTTGCCCCAGACTGAGAGTTCCTATCTATACCTTGTGGTTAATAGCTACTGATGGATCTCTGCTCCATATGTTTATCTAATTTCCTCTTGAAGCTGTCCATGCTTGTAGCTGCCGCCACCTCCTGTGTTAATTACTCTTTGGGTGAAGAAGTACTTCCTTTTATCTGTTCTAACCCGACTGCTCATTAATTTCATTGAGTGCTCACGAGTTCTTGTATTGTGAGAAAGGGAGAAAAGTACTTCTTTCTCTACCTGCTCGATCCCATGCATAATCTTATAAACCTCGATCATGTCACCCCTCAGCCGTCGTGGGAAAAATCCACGATACTGGTCCATCCATGTACCTCTTTTATCCAAAATGAAGAAAAAGAAACAAAATGGTGCAGAGCAGCCCCGTAGCTAGGGAATTTTCGGGGAGGGGGCCTCAGGGGGCTTGCCAGCTAATTAAATGAAAGTACAGTGCAGGTGGTAAGTTGGAGCACTTTGGGGGCAGCCCGGGAGGGAGGGGGCCCAAAAGAAACACTAGGGGGCCAGGCCCCATGGGCCCCATGTTAGCTACGGGCCAGGTGCAGAGGGAATGGGATATTTAATAGTTATTAATAGATATACAACCCCTACGTGTTTCACATACAGCTTAGTCAGGGGGAGTCTTTCCGATTATTTTTCGTACCATTCCCATAAATGCACTGGTCTTTGCTGTGCACCATTTTGTTTCTTTTTCTTTGTTTTTCCTTGATGGGGGTCCGCGTTTTTTCTTCACTCCTTTATCCAAACCACACTAGCATGGAAACATACCACAAGGATGTAATTCCCATATTATTACAGGCAATGTTCCCTCTAAGCTGTGGAGTCTTGTGAGCAAAAATTCTACTTGGTGAGCTGCTGGCATTAAAGTTATGAGCGAGCAATTGGGCTACTGCCTAAATGAGTTTGCTCTGGAGCCACCCTTCCTGAGCTAAGGCAAAAACGTGTGAGCTGGAGGCTAAAAAACTGTGAGCTAGCTCACACGAACTCAGCTTAGAGGGAACACTGATTACAGGTAGCGTGGTTCATCTGTGTCTAGTTGTAGTCCCCAAATCCAACAACCTACATTCACTCCTAATATACAGTAGAATACCTAGCATCTAGACACATACGTTCTGTCACCAAGAACATAGCGGGGGAGGGGGGTTTGGCCACTCTCAGGATCCACGGAGCCAGGCAAGTCATGTGATTTATTTTCATGTGATTTGGAGTGTGAGTCTGCGTGATATAGGGGGGCAGAGGGAACCTTTGGGAGTTTTCAGTGGCCTTCCTTGCCTTACTGAGAATATACAATCATTCCAGACAGGTGGAACAAAGTCTGAGTCCAGTGGAACCTTTAAGACCAACAAAGTGTTATTCAAGGTGTCAGCTTTCGCATGCATGCACACTTCTTCTGACATACTTGTGAAAGCCCATACCTTAAATAAACCTTTGTTGGTCTTAAAGCTGCCACTGGACTCAAACTTTGTTCTGCTGCTTCAGACCAAACACAGCTGCCCACCTGGACCTAAACTTTGTTAGTCTTTCAAGTCCCAAAGGACAAAACTGGCATACTGCCTACTCCAAGACTACGTTCTTTTTTAAAGGAGGGGGGCAAAGTCCTTACTTCACATGCACACTTGTTTCTGTCTCACTCTCTCCTAAAAGTCAAACCAGCGTATGTGTGCACAGTGAGCTTTTACGCTACCTGGTTGGGCACAGGAGAGACTCTACCAATTTCTTGATTCATTTCAAAGGAACAAATGTACACTGTGATTTCTTGAGTGCTGGAATTGGAATCTACTCAGAGTGTCCGAAAATTGTATCAGGCCTCAGTCATGGAAACATGAAGTAATCATACAGGAGAAAGTGGTTCTCAGCATGTACCAAATTCATTTGGACATCTGGACAGGACTTTTAAAAGGAAAGATCCGTAGGGCATCAGGCAGCCACTGAGACCCTGTTATTGCATAGCTCCCCATCCCCAGACACACAAACGTATCCTTCTCACCTGGTCGGAGTCAGTGTTCCCTCTAATCTGAGTTAGTGTGAGCTAGCTCACAGTTTTTTTAGCCTCCAGCTCACATGCTTGCCTTACCTCAGGAAGGATGGCTTCAGAGCAGACTAATTTATGCAGCAGCCAAATCGCTCACTCACAACTTTAATGCTGGTAGCTCACAAAGTAGAATTTTGTTCACAAGACTCCACAGCTTACAGGGACCCTTGGCCCCAAGTGCTGCTTACCTGAACTCCTGTCACTTTACATGGGGGACCCACTAAGCTTAAAGCAGTGCGTTGTTTTGTGATACAGCACAGTGCTCCCGACTTGGTGTGCACACTTTCAAAAAGAGAAAAGGCGTCTCAGGGTCCTCTGTAATATGAGGCCTTGGGGACACTCTTCCATTTCCCACTGAGTGCTTGCCAAACTGGAAGCAGCTAGCACTGAGTGAAAGGTCACTTCAGACCTGGCAGGTGCCTTCTGTTTAGAAGGAGGACTCCTCCAGAAGCCTTAGCAATAACATAGAGACCTCTTGAAGCCTCACATGAACACACAAGACTGCCTAATGTACCTCCTGCCTGTACATACATGCATCTGTTCGTAAGAAAGAGCCAGTGCATGTTCACTTTACAAATGAAAGCAGGGACTGGTACCTGGATAAATGTGGGGCTTGGCTGTGACATGAGAATGACTCAATGAACATACACAGAACAAACATTCAATATATCTCGTGAGCAGGACTACAGAATCAGGCCATTGGTATTATTTACTTTGACTGGAATTAGCTCTCCAGAGTCTGGGGAGAGTCTTTCACACCAACAGATCCTTTTAAACTGGAAATTACAGGGACTGAATGCAGGCGTGTAGCTACGGTGGGGCATTTCAGGGCCATGCCCTGTCATTGGTGAGCTCTGCCCCATCCGAGCAGCTCAAGCTGCGAGCCAGCCCGCCGGCAGCCAGTAGACAAGGAAGAGACTTTCCCTCATCTATTCACTGTGGGCAGGCTCACTGCTTGCAGCTTGAGTGGCATTTAAATGGGGAAGCTCCCCTGTTTAAATGCCACTCGGGCCACGAGCGGCAAGCCCAGTGAAGACCAGCAGGTTGAAAATGATGACCATCGTTTTAAAGAAACTTGAACTCTCTTGTTTGAAATTAAGTTTTGGTACCTTTCTAATTATAGGTGGGGACTATGCTGTGTGCTACCATTATCAGGTTTGATTGCCCTCAAGTGAGATTTTTAATCTTTTTCAACCTCTGTAAT